TGGCCTTGGAGCTCTTATGGTCTACGCGGCTCCCAGGGCGGCGGCGGGGGTAGGCGTGGCTCTTCTCCTGAGGGTTCTGGGACATCAGTCCCCAGTTAGGGAAGGAGTGGGCAGTGGAACCACCTGACAAAGCACATCTGAAACTGGACTGCCTGATTCTGAAAGGGGAAGAGAGATGTAGAATTGAGGTTTCTCATTCCGTAGTATTTCCCTTTGCTGCATCAGAAAGAGGTGTATATTTTGGGAAGGTTATATTACTGGGATGTAAGGTCTGGGCATAAAGGCTTGACCCTTACCAGGACCATCTATTTGTGTCTAAACCACTCTTCCTCATGAGCATGAGCTTTTGCCAAAGTTAGGACTCTGAATGGAGGAGGCAGATGGCATGCATCCTCATTGTCCTGGTGGAGAAACAACCCAGACAGGGTCAGGGAGCTGTCTAGAATCACAGAATTAGCCAGGTGGATCATGCCTGGGCCAGTTCAGGCTGAGGAGCAGGCAAGGGGTCTGGAGAAGGCAATGGTGGGAGAGGGCAGATAATCCAACCAGCTCTTTAAGATCTTTAACAGGGCAGTAGGCTGGTTTTCCTGCCCCTGCAGGGGGAGAGGAGAGAGGAAGGGGGAACATCTTAGGCATGGAATTTAATCTTTAGTCAAAAGTCAGATTAAATCTGGAGATTAGAGAAGATACCCAAAGCCAGATGCAGTCATGGGCCTGGTTTGGAGAGAGGCAGGGTTGGGTTTGTTCATTAGGGCTGGGATAAAAAGTTTAGCATGGGGGTCATGGTGACTTCTCAGATCACTCTCTCTCTGCTCTCAAATTCCACCCTGTTCTCAGCAATTGATCACCAAGTCCATTTCTCTGCCAACCTTCCTGCTCTCCTCTTGGCAACACATTTGTTGGCTGGCTACCTCTTGGCTTTGTCTCCACTACACAGTCACTCTCCTCTGCCTCTGCCCTACTTTGGGCACTGTCATTTCTCCCATGTATCACTGCAGTACTTCCCCAATAGGCCTCCCTGCTTCCACTTTCTTTTGCCCCAGTGCCTTCTGCTCACAGCAACTATGGCAATCTTTTTAAAGCACTTATGAGACAATATCTCTTACTTTAGAGAGCTGCTCATGATCCCTAGGTTTAAGTTCAGAAGTATAAGCTTTGCAATTGAGGGTCAAGGCATGATGTGGTCTCATCTGCCTTTCTGACTTTCATTTACGACCAGGCCTATCCTATGACCACCAAGCTTATTCTTTCCCTAACCTAAATCCTTCAGCCATCTGCTCTAGGAACTTTCACCTACCCACACTGAGCCAATGTCTCTCCCCCACCTATCAGCTCTCCAAGGAGTGGACACCCCCTACCGCACACATAGACCCTCATATACTGTATGTTAAACATAGGACTGCAAAAAAACCATAGATTTGGGGGGAGGAGGTATGTGTCCTAATCTGCTGCCCAAGGCCACTGACCATATCTCTGCACTCAGGGCAGATTTCAACAAAGAAATAGCACCAGCCAGGTGTACACACAGATATACATGCTGCCAGCCAGGCAGCTGCCCATCTGTTCCAGCTGGGAGGAATGAGAGAGGGAGACTGGCAAACAGTAATTAGCCTCCTCCCAGATGCCAGTGTCTGTCTCTAAGTCCTCAGCTACTTCCAAGGAGATGCCGGAACTCTCAGGGTTCTCACCTCCCCCACCTCTCCCATGAAGAGACTATCATCAAGAATGACAGGTGCAGTGTGCCTGGGTGGCTCAGCTGGTTAAGCGACCCGACCTTCGGCTCAGGTCATGATCCCAGGGTCTTGGGATTGAATCCCACATTGGGCTCCCTGCTCAGCAGGGAGTCTGCTTCTCACTCTTCCCATCCCCTCCACTCATGATCTCTCTCTCTCTCTCCAATAAAGAAATAAAACATCTTAAAAGAAAAAAAGAATGACAGGTGCAGACCAGAATTTTGATCCCAGATGTCAATATACAGCTCACTACAATTTTGTCTCAGGGCTTCATTCTCTGTGCTCCTTCTCTCTAAATCTCTAAGCTGGTCAGTTCCAGCTGGAACAGCTGTCTGGAACAGCCTCTTACTCCCTGCCTCTCATTCCTTCCATTCCTCTATTGCATCCCCTACCAGTGTACAGGTCAGAAACCAGGGTACAGGTTAGAAAAGCCCTCCTGCAGAATGCACACAAGCTTTTAGCTGATGCCCTCAAGCTAAGCAGAACCCAAAGAAGGCCTTAGGTGGCCCAGGCCAGACTTGCCATACATTTATATTCATTCATTCAGGACAAACAAGGCTCCATTCGGGGCACTGAGGGAATAAGGGAAAAGGGTCCATATCTGAAGAGGACAGAGAACACCTCATCCTCGAAACTTTCATGCTAAGTCAGCTCATCTCATGACACTGGAGGCATGGAGAGGCCACCAAGATGACCTCAAAAGCCATTTCCAGTAGGTTCTGAGAATCTTAATGTTCTAGGATTCCAAGGTTTTTTGTTGAAGGACAGGGCCTCACAGTCCTGGAAACCCATTCCATGCAGGCCCTGCGCTGGTCTCCCTGTGCCACCACAGCATCCAACGCTAACAATAATACTGACCAAGAGGCATAGCTATAGTGCCTAGTCTACAGATGAAGAAACTTGTCCAGACAGAAAAAGGAACCTGTTTGAAGTTCCTAGGTGGCAAGGTTGCCTAAATCTGAAATCCCAGCTTAACTCTGCAGCACAACTTTTAGGAGATGAGAGATAATGGTCTGACTGGCAGTCTGAATGCAGCAGAGGAAAGGAGCTCTGTGGGTCAGAGGGTGGGACAGGCGCCCCATCAGGTGGATGTGTGCATAGTGAAGCCTATCTTCTCAAGGGCTGGTGCTGCTGCTTGCTCCAGAAAGGCTCCTTGGGGTGGGAAAAGGGCAATTTTAATGGCATCTCGTACTGGGGCTGTGGAGGAGGAACTGTGATTCCCGTGTTAACAGCGCGAGAGACCCCTGTAATCTGCCGGCTCCGTCATCTGGCTAACCACAGGCTAATGCCGGCAGGTGGGGTCTGCCTTAGCCAAACCTTTCCCCACTTGACACTCAAGCTCGGTCTTGGCTGCCAGGCTCTAGCCCGATCTGAAGGGGAGGGCCCGGCCCGGCCCCAAAACGGGGAGGCCATGCCAAACTGAGTCGTTTGTAGAACATAATTCCAGGGAGGGGGGAAATGTCAAAGGCAACTCGATCCAGCCCGTCTTCCTGCCCTCCCCAAGGACGGGATCCGAGGGGATCAAGTGACTGCGCCTACAGCCTGGAATACTCCACCCCCACCCCAGCGCTACAGCTACAATGTCCGAAGGGACAGACTGAGGTCAAAGGGCCGGCGGCCCGCTGGAAACCGCGGCTTGAGGAGGGGCCCAGGTGTCCAGGCTCGTTACCCCCTACTCATTCAGTAGGAGCGAAAGTTCAGGAAGTGTGTTTCCTCAGCAACCCCCCAAGGTCCTCCCCCTGGGCTCACTCACGGCAGTGACCCCAGAAGTGGGGGCGAAGGGAGGCTCCCGAAGATTCCCTCCAAGCTAGCGGGAGTTCAGCTGCCACGGCGCTGCGCGGGGCGCTGCTTAGCTGGGGACAGCTGAGGCCCTCCTCGGGACCCGCCCTCTTGCTGTGGCGTCCAGCACCGCCCCTGGCTCTCGAGCCCTCCTCCCACATTGTCACGCGGACTTGAGGTCCAACCCCTTCGCCCCAACCTTTCTCCCACTGTTCTGTGCCCACCTCGGAACAACTCTGACCCGCCACCAGCAGGGTTTCTCCTGGCTCCGCCCTCTGCCTTCAGGTCCGCCCCCGCTGGGCCGTGGTCACCGCATGCTGGCGGGGCTCTTTACTAGGTCTTCTGGGAAATGTAGTTCTGGAGAAAGGAGCGGTTGTAGTGTGTTGGGGTTCTCGCACCTCTAGGCTAAATTTGGGATGTGTATGAGGAGCGAGCGAGCGTCAGGGTAAAGGGGGCAGGGCTGGCTCTTGGGATTCCTTTCCCTCCAGATTTGGGCAGGTGGAGGCCATCTTTGTATAATGCTCTCATTAAGCTCTTTATGCGGAAAAAGTTTCCCATATGGAAAAAGTTCTCTCATATAGAAAAAGGGTGGCGGAGTTCTGGAAGAATCGCAGAGGCTCAGTACAGGGTGGATCCAATCAAGGACCCCACGGAAGGAGCCTAGTTCCACCAGCCAGAGGCCCAAGTTGTCAGTTCCCACCGGAACAGACCGGTAGTATCTGAGGTTGGGGACCTCGGTATTTTGCAGTGCCCCCTTTGGTCTCTCCCCGCAACGCACACCCCGTGGTGACACCGTTAGAAATGCCCATGCTGTAGGTTGGGGAACGTGCCCCGTCATATCCCTGCTCTGAGGACCAGCTGGGTGCAAAAATACTAAAGATCCCAGAGATTCCAGAACACCCCACCTCATTTCCGAAGGGACAGAGAAACAGCTTTGCTCTGTAATTTGAAATTTCTTAGTCATGAAACCCTCCAAAATTATGTTTTAGATTCTTGGGTAAGGGAGGGCAGCAAGGATGTCTGAACATAGGCTTTTTCAGGGCTGTCATGGAGACTCTGGGAGTAGAGATCAAGAACTTTGGGTACAGGGACAGGTATCTGCAGAATGGAAGACTGCGTCTCCTGAGATGAGGGGGGTGAGGAACATTTAGGTTTGGGGGATACTGAACAAATGTCAGCTGGAGAGCCCTTTTGGGGTTGCCCTGCACAGCTAGATTGACCCATTATTTTGGGTAGAGGGAGGCCACTAGCTATTGTTGTGTATTAGGAGGGCACTCAGGGTCACCCAAGGGAAGTACTGAGATGGTGGGGACAAGAAGGGCTCAGGACAGATGACTAAGAAAATGCATCTCAGTTAAAGGGGCTTGGCAGGAGCCTGAGTGACTGGTTCCTCACTGCCAGATCCTGTGGGATAAGGACACAGGAGGCAGCTTTTGGGGTGAAGAATTTATTTACTGCTGGGCCCCCTTGGCCCCGCCAGCCTGGGCTCTACCAGCAGTAGCAGTCAGGATAGATTTCAGACACAAACTCAGGGTGGATGACATAGCTGTTTCTCTGGGGGCCACCGGTCTTCTTGAAGTGACTTGTGTCCCATCTGTAGGGAGAAATGGGTCAGCCCTTTTGGACCCTCATAGGTCTGATTCCAATTCTCAATGCTAACTGTATCCCAACATTTTGCCCCTAATATTTTTTTTTTTAAAAGATTTATTTGTCAGAGAGAGAGGGAGAGAGAGCGAGCACAGGCAGACAGAATGGCAGGCAGAGGCAGAGGGAGAAGCAGGCTCCCCGCCGAGCAAGGAGCAGGATGTGGGACTCGATCCCAGGACGCTGGGATCATGACCTGAGCCGAAGGCAGCTGCTTAACCAACTGAGCCACCCAGGCGTCCCTGCCCCTAATATTTACCCCATGCTCCAACATTGACCTTCTGACCTCAGGTTGTACTGTTAAATTTCTGATTCCCAGTACTGGCTCCCTAACATTAATTTCTTATCCTCTATTTTAATCCCTGAACCGAATGCCCTGATCTCTTGACTCTGAGCCCCACTGCCAACCTGTAAACTTTGAAGGCCAGAACCTCAGAGCGCTCTCATGGAGGGTCCTCCATTCCCTTGCCAGCTTTGATGACCCCCCCATGACACTAGCGCCCCCTGGTGGCATCTTCTGGTCAGTGCATCGCAGCGGTCAGTTCCCCGCTCCGCCCCCATCCCCCCACCCCCAACTCGTCCCAGCGTTCCCCGTCACGCCAAACGCCATTTGGGCCGAACTTACCTAAGGTTCGGACAAGGGTAGTATGACGGCGGGGGAGTTATAACAGCACATTGCATTCCGGGCCGGTGCTCGTAGGGCGATACACTCCTGGAGAAGGAAGTGGTGGGCCCGGAGAGGTAGGGCCTCAAAACCCAGACTAAGACCCTGAGCGGCGATCTTTCCCTCTGGCCTCTTGGCCCTTCAAGACCCCATCGAAGCATCACCTCTGGGATGACACGTGAAAGTCTCTATCCTCGTTCGGCCTGGTTTGCGCTGCCCAGCCTGGGCTGTGGGAGTACGCTGGATTCTGGGGGTGTTGGGCTCCAGTCGTTGAAGAGCTGGGAGCACCAGGGTCCTCTCCATTGGAAGGGAATTATTCCAGTACTCAAGCCATTTCTAAGGCTCAGGCACTTTCTCGCTCCCCCCTGCCCTTGTAACAGATGAGACTCAGCCTCACACAATTAGACTTTTTGCCTGGGGAAGGGCGGGGCACATCATGGTGGGGTAGGGGCAAGATCTAGGACCCCTCCCCCGCTTTTCCTCCAGAAGCTTTCTAGACCACGAACTTTGGAGTTCTCCCAGGCTCAGCCTGCCTTGATTGCCACCTGGTGCGGGAAGAGGGTTGCTCCGCAGTCTGGGTTGCAGCTGAGCTCTTGGGCCTGTTCCCTCAGCAGTAACACGCTAGGCTAACTTAAGTGGTGGTGTGGTGTTCTAAGGCCAGGACCCCTCTGGTAATACAGTTACCATTTCCTTGCTCACATAACACCCGGCAATGACCCTGCGCATAGATGGTGACCTAAGACCCAGGAATAGAGGCCGCTTTTATGAGGACACATAGGCACTCTAGAGGCTAGAACCTGCGTCTCTATGGCCGGGTGTCCAGGTAGGGAACAAGGTGTGGGAAGGGGATATGACAAACAAACCACCTTCGGGCCTCCAGAGCTAGGTTGACCTTGAGCCCAGTTTGGAAGGGATAGGGCCGGGAACCTGGAGGAATTTTCATGCAGGTTCTCTGGTCTCAGCGGTCCGTTCGGGCCCTGGCGCCGGAGGGCGGGACAGGACAGGGCCTAGTAAGTGGATAGAGGTGGCGGGAGGCACGGTAGGGTCGACACAGAGGCAGAGCACAGCTGGAACTGGTGAGGGTTGGGGTGCGCACAGCTGGGGTAAAGCTGGACTTGCAGGTGGGCGGGGTGGGGGTATTGGGGGGTATTAGGGGCTTGCTGGGGAGCGGCGCCTGCCTAAGGCAGGAGCAGCCCTGCGAACCTTACAGTCGGCTCTTCTGTGCACAAAGGCCGGAAGCGGCGTTCTGCGCAGGGTGCGCCGGAGACGTAATAGTCCATTCCGCGCAGACAGTAGTGGCGGCCAGAGCAAGGGCTTTCATAACCCTGGAAGGGCAGGCGGCCGGGCAGAGGATCCACGCACCCGCATCGGCGCGTGATCTGCGGCAGCGGCTGGTTCCGTGACAGCGAGTTCAACATGTTCACCACCACCTCGCGCTCTGCACCCACGGACCCAAGCCGGAAAGATCCAGATACAGAGTTACAGGAAAGGGAAGAGACAGAGTCAGAGATAGGAAGAGATGGAAATAAAAGCAGCGACGGATAGAGGAGACAGGGTTACACCCTCTATCTTTGGCCTTTGCCTCATTCCCTAGGTCCCATCCCACCGTCCCTCTGGTCTACCCCACTACAGCCCCGCCATCTGTTACCGTAGGCGTTGAGTCGTTCTGGCTTAGGAGGGCACTGTAAAGGCATTTCTCGAACAGCTGTCTCCATTCCGGCCTCCTGAAAGTGGCACACGTGCTATCTCAAACTCTGACCCGGGAGAGTTCCTCCTTTTGGGGATCCTCCCTGAACACCCAGACCAGTCCCAGGCGGTGTCTTCTCCCACGCTCCAGTTGCTCCCCTACTCTCCCAGGCTCTGAGTGTTTTGGGTTGTCACCTGGCAACCAGTACTCCGCCTCCGGGGCGGGGATGGGGGGTGGGGGGTGGGGGGGTGGAGGATGGGAAGGGAAGGAAATGGAGCTATAGATGTATGGGGTCTGGACCCTAGGCCTTTGGCACCCTTGCCTCAGCGTTTGCCTTTGATTTTACCTCTCTTTGTCTACCTGACTCTGTAGTTAAGTCTTGGAGTGTCCCTAACTGGGGAGAGGTAGTGTCAATATTATAATATTGCCTGCCCATCAGAATCCCCCGCAGACTTGTGAAAAATCCTGATTCTCGAGGAAGTTCTGATTCAAAAGGATTCAGTCAAGGGGATCAGCCATCAGCTACAGTTAAGAACCTGTGCTCTGGGGGCACCTGGGTGGCTCAGTGGGTTAAGCCTCTGCCTTGGCTCAGGTCATGATCTCAGGGTACTTGGGATTGAGCCCCACATCGGGCTCTCTGCTCAGCAGGGAGCCTGCTTCCCCCTCTCTCTCTGCCTGCCTCTCTGCTTACTTGTGATCTCTCTCTGTCAAATAAATAAAAATAAAATCTTAAAAAAAAAAAAAAAAAGAACCTGTGCTCTGGCCTTCGGTCCTCTCAAATTTCCTCTTCCCTCTGGCCTGGGCCTGCAGCTGGGCTCCTTCCTATCTCCTTGGAAGACTCTCCTGTATCTCCTGTATCCTGTATATCCTGTATCCTGCCACTGGGTGGCCTTGTTCTCCCTTCTCTTGTCCTTGCTCACATCACAAAGGAGGGAGACTCAACCTCTCATTAATCAGACCGTTTGGGGAAGGGCCTGGTGGCAAGCTTCAGGAAGGTAGTCAGGGACACTCGTTGTGTCCCCACAGAGCCCAGCCACAGGTTGGGATCCAGGGGACCCAGGAGCTGTTCATACAGCTCCACTCCTGGGCTCCCATGTCTCTTAGAAAATACAAACCCTAGTTTCACACTTGAGAAAGAGCCCTGGAGTGTTGTTGGTGGGAAAGGGATGAAGAACCAATGGTGAGATATCAGTCACTGTGGTTTGGAAGTGGAGGGAGATGTATGTCCCAGACCCCAGGCATCTGTGCTGGTCACAGTAGATACCTTAGGTAGCCGGGGAAGGCATGTGGTATATTTGTTCCAGCCGGTGCAGTTGTAAGGTCCCATCCTCCATGTGTTATACCGGTCACCACATAGGTAGTATGGGGTCCATTTGTCTATTTGATCATGGGGATGGAAGCACAAGATATTGTTATTCCTCATTCTACCCCAGGATCTGTGTCTCCATAGATGTTTCTCCTCTGATCCCCAGCATAAAACTAGACTCTTACTAATATCCCTCAGGCCAGTCAAGCCCAGCCAGGGCCCAGATTTACACACTGAGATGCAGCCCATTTCTCACCTAAGGCAACTTTCTGAGTGGGGTCTGAATCCTTTGAGCTGATCACTTTGCATCCTGGCATCAACCTCTCTGAATTAGCCAACTCTAAAATGGATTCTCTTCCTATTTCCTCCCTCTTATCTTCCACATCCAGGTTACAAAGTTTGCTTATTCTGCCTCCTTAAAACCACTTGAATCTATCCTCTCTTCTAGTCACCCCTGTATCTCTGCGGTGCCATAACAAGAAGACAATAACATGTCGTGGTTAATAAAATGGGCTTCACAGACATTTGGTGTTCAAATCTCAGCTCTGCCAAATAGCTCTGTATGACCTTGACTGAATGAATTAATTTCACTGTGTCTCAGTCTCCTCAGTTTTAAAATGGGGGTAATAGTATTATTTACTTCATAGGGTTGTTGTGAGATTTAAATGAGTTCATACATGTAAAACACTTAGAACAATGCCTGGCACATAGAAAACTGTTATTACTATTGGCCTACTAACTTCCCTACCTCCTTTTGAAATTCTACAATCCAATCTCTACACAGATTTTCACAAATGAAAATCTGATCAAGACACTTCCTTACTTAAAATCCTCCAAAGCCCCACCCACCCAGTCGTCTAAGTCTGTCCTGAAGACCCTCCATGATCTACTACTCTAACAGTCTGAAAGAACACACGTGCAAGATACTAGGAAAGGAGGTCTAGGAGCCCTAGAGGAAGAGCAGGTGTGTGTATGTGTGGGGCAGAGTGTTGAGATTTGGAGTTCTGGATTGGCGAGTTGGACATATTAAGTATGAGGTGTTTGAGGACATTCAGGTAAAGTTGACCATAACTCAGATGGAGAGTGGAATTCTAGGAAGAGGTCAAGGGTAGAAATAAAGACTTAGAGTTGTCCGTTAAGACACTGGTTAGATAAAATGGCCTCAGGAGAGGAATAAGGAGAGAAGAGAGCACCCCGAGGAACCCTGCATTTCCAGAATGGGGGGAAAAGAAACCCAGGGAATGGAGGCATCAGAGAAGCTGAAGAAGGAAGGAGTATCAAGAAATAGAGAGCACTTGAGTGGTTCAGGCAGTTAAGCGTCTGCCTTTAGCTCAGGTCATGATCCTGGAATCCCAGAATCGAGTCCCGCATTGGGCTTCCTGCTCAGTGGGGAGTCTGCTTCTCCCTCTGCCCTTCACCCCTCTGTTGCTCTTTCTGTCTTCCAAACAAACAAACAAACAAACAAACAAAAAATCTTTAAAAAAAGAAGTAGAGTGGTCAGAGAGTGAAACTCATAATATAAGGCTCATAAGGTAAAGATTGAATAGTCTCATGGATGTGGCAATTAGAACTAAACAAGAGCAGTTTTAATGTTTGAATGTAGGAGATGAAGACTCCCAATGTCAATTAGATAAATATTTATCATCATTTGATTCAATAAACAGTTATGAGGCCTGGTTATACTAGATGGAGGGGCACAGCTATAAATAAGAAACAACTCTGCTCTTTCGGAATGTACAGTGAGACATCACAAACACCTAACCAAATGGGAAAGATAATTTCTCATAAGGTGTAACAAGGAGTGAAAAAGTAGAGACAATGATATAGACGATGTTTCTAAGAATCTTGGCTGTGAAGGGGAGGAACAAGAGAGAATTTTTAGGAAGGAAGGGGTTAGAAAAGGCTTCCAGGTCAAGGGAAAGGTGGTGAGGTGGGGCAGAGAGATGTAGGAGAGATGGAGAAACTGGTGAAACAGGGTCACTAAGAAGATGGGAAAAGATGGCCCTGGAATATACCTGGAGGAATTTGTTTGGAAGAGGTTAATACTCCCTCCATCTCTCTAAGGATAGGACCCAAGCCTCTTCCAGTTTTTTGGCACAAATAGGGAATTCCCAAAAGGGAGGGCCTGGATCTCCTCCTCCAGGGTCAGGGTTAGGGTCAGATCAGATGGTTGGGAGTCAAGCTAGAGTGGAAGTGACTGGAGAAGCCCAAATTATGGGTGGGGATAAAGTTGATATGGGATCAGGGTGGAGGTCAGGATTCAAGTTGGGATCAAGTTAACAGTCATTGTTGAAGTCCCTGAGCAGGGTCATCTTTGCGTAGGTAAGGAGTGAGGTCCTACCTTCCTCTTGACAGAGCCAGTATTTCTCAGGAAAGTAGGGGTGGCCTGATATAGAACCCTTATAGCTGTAGTCCTGCACGGCACATTTGACCATCTTCTGCAGGGCTTCAGGATCCACGTGGCGCTGCATGGTCTGAGTCAGGCCCTGGGCAAGGGGAGAGGAGAGGAAATGACTAGGTGCCTAAAGACCCCATGTCCCGCTGGACCCAGATCCAGCGCCTATTGAGAAAGCCCAGTTGGGTGTCTTCCCTATGCCAGAGGTATCCCCATGCCAGTCTTGGCCCCCTCTGCATAGTTCTTTGTTTGAATCACACTTTCTTCCTTTCTTTCTATCCAAGGCTAGGGCTTGGAGACAGGAATTTGTCCTCTGAGTGCTTTTCTGATGTTCTCATTTCTGTCCTTTCCTTGACTGGGGCCTCTTTAAGGGCAGAGCTGGATGTTCCTGTTTTTTTGCAGACTGTGCTATCCGGGAGCAGGGCCTGGATCTCCCCAAACAGACCAACAAGCCCCTGGTATAACCTGGAGCCTCAGGAAAGGCTGGCTGCCTGGGAGCCAGCTACCTGATGCAGGTGTTTTGGAAGGGAGTGCTTTCTGGGAATTTGGCACCTTGAAGGAGATGAAGGATGTGGCCGGAGGGAAACCTAATTTTAAATCTCCCTGACTCCAACCTCACCCTGACTCTACTGTGGCTCTGATCTTGACACCAATATCACCCTTGACCCTGACACTCACTTTGCCCTGGTGCTTATCCTACCCTGACCTTTTTCCTAATCTTGGTTCAGGCCCTGGTTTCCTCTGCTTCTTGGAGTTTACCTTGTCTTATTTCCTTCAATCTCCTTTTGAGCTAGATCTGTGGAATTCCTGATTAAGACCTACCTCTGGAGCTCCCTTGTCCTCAGCTGAGGGAAGAATGTCTCGGTGTAAACCAATAGATCTCTGCACGCAGCCGATTTGAATATATAATGCTACCATATAACGTACCAATATATAATGCTACCCCAATTCTGGGTCACAGGGGTGGGATACCCAGCAAAGTCAGAGACTAGAAAGGACTTCCTCATAGTGGGCAGCAAGGAGCTGGGATCGTGACACTGCTGCCCGCATTTCCCCCTTATGAGCTGAAGAGCAAAGGCTTCTCCTGGCCAAGATGAGACCTGGTTCCCCTACTGCCCTCAAAGCCCCCCCACGGAAGGGTTTCTTGGATCTCTGTGCCCAGCTGAGGTTTTGTTTTGTGGGCAGATCCTGCACAGTCATATTCCATATGGGGGAAAGAGCCACATGACTTGGCATTCCCTTGACCTTTACACACAGGCACACACACCTCCAGTCATTTAGGAGAACTCATAGATGTCATCAATTTTCCCCCTAGAGGCTTTCCTCACATGTCTCTATCTTTGATTGTCTGCTCATGGTTTATGAGTCGGAAACTAAAAAAGCTTATTGGAGGGTGCCTGGGTGGCTCAGTGGGTTAAAACCTCTGCCTTCGGCTCGGGTCACGATCCCAGGGTCCTGGGATAGAGCCCTGCATTGGGCTTTCTGCTCAGCAGGGAGACTGATTCCTCCTCTCTCTCTGCCTGCCTCTCTGCCTACTTGTGATCTCTGTCAAATAAATAAATAAAATCTTAAAAAAAAAAAAAGCTTATTGGAGGCTTTGAGGTGTGGGTGGGTTTTGTCAACCAGGAGCATCATTGTAGGGTAGTCTGGAAAACTATTTTTGTTAAATTCTGTCAGTATCTCTAGGTCTTCTCTCTTGAGCTGATCAGATCCTTCAGAAGAGACTTTCAGTCTTTGGCCTACAGGTAGTGGCCTGGTTGCCAGTGTTCTGAGAATCTAGTGGAGAAGAGGGGAGCTGGGGGGTTTGGGCATTCAGTATGTAGAGGTTCACCTGTTTTCACTATGGTACCCTGCCCTCAGATGGGCCTGATAGCCCCAGTCCTGAGATCCTCACCAAAAAATTAGCCTTCTGATTTTTGCAGAGATGGGGCAAGCAGTCACCCCACAGCATAGAATAGAAGAGGGGATTAGTGGGTTTAACTGCTTTTAAAAAATATATATTATTTATTTGAGAGAGAGAGAGAGAGAGAGCATGCCCATAAGCAGGAGGGTGGGGGTGGAAATGGGAGTGGGGAGCAGGGAGCAGAGGGAGAACCAGACTCCTCCCTGAGCAGGGAGCTGGATGGGGGGCTTGATGCAATGTGCGGCTCAGTTGAGGGGCTGGATCCCAGGACCCCAAGATCATGACGTGACCTGAAGGCAGTTGCTTAACCAACTGAGCCACCCAGGAACCCTGGTTTAATTGGTTCTTAAACAGCTTTCAAATCAACCTTATTTTAGCTGTGGTCCTCTCCTATCTTCAGTTCCAGAGAAGTCCAGTATTACCAATTCCTGAGCCTTTTTGAAAATTCTGCAATTTTAAGTTGAATCATGTCCTGTGTTTCCCACTGCTGGCTTTGGATTCAGCTTTCTGAAGTCTGCTGTCAGGTACTACTTAATTGATTGTACTTTCTAGCTTCTGAAATTTTGTGGCCATTGTCCTTTCTTTCCGACTAGTCTCGTGAGTTTACGTGTCAAATATCCATTTACAGGAGTTTTAGAGGGTTTCAGGAGCGAGTCCAAATACATATGTTCAATTTCAACCCGGAAAATTATAGTTTTATATTCTTTATACTAATCCTTTGTCAATTACATGTTGCAAATACCTTCTCTCAGTTTGTGGCTTGTATCTTCATTTCCTTTATAGTGTCTTTTGATGAAAAGAAGTTCTTAATTTTACAATATGTGAATTTATTAATCTTTTCTTTTATGTAGTACTTTTTTGACTTGTTTAATAAATACAACCATAGTCTCAGATAATAATGTCCTATATTTTCTTCTAAAAGGAAATAGTTTTATTTTCCATAGTTAAGTCTTTAATCTATCAGGAGTTGCCATTGGTGTGAGTTAGGGATCAGTTTTCTTTTTATCCATCTGGATAACCAACTGTCCCATTGAATAGTCTGTCTCCCCCTGCACCCTTCCCCTGGCCCCCCACACCAATATATAATGCTACCCCAATTCTAATGTATCTTTTCCCATAGCTTTACTTTCAGTCATCTTTGTTGTATATTGTTCCATGTATATATGGCCCCATATCTGATCTGTTTCATTCTCTAACAATCAGTTTGGCTATTCCTATAGTAATACTATACTTTATAAATGTTAGTCACCCTTCCTACCCACATGCATGTTATACATGTTTATTTTATTTTATTTTTTATTTATTTATTTATTTGACAGAGAGAGAGATCACAAGTGGGCAGAGAGGCAGGCAGAGAGAGGTGGGGAAAGCAGGCTCCCTTCTGAGCAGAGAGCCTGTTGTGGGGCTCGATCCCAGGACCCTGAGATCATGACCTGGGCCGAAGGCAGAGGCTTTAACCCACTGAGCCACCCAGGTGTCCCTATACCTGTTTATTTTTTTAAGCAAAGTTTTATATTATCCATATACTTTTATACACATTATTATATTCCTACTGATCTTTTTGTTGACAGAATCATATACAGGTTTGTATGTGTGTGTGTATGCATTTGTTTTTTTAAATTATGCTTCCTGGGGCACCTGGCCACCTCATTTGGAAGAGCATGTGACTCTTGATCTTGGGGTCATGAGTTTGAGCCCCATATTGGGTGTAGAGAGTACTTAAAATAAATAAATTAAAACTTAAAAATAATTATGTTTCCTAAATATTTGCTGTTGAGGTAAAGAAACGTGATTGGCTTTTATCTTATATTCACCCAACTTTCTAAATTCTTATTCTAATACTTTGTAGATGCTATGTACACAACTGTATTATCTGTGAATAGTAAGTTCTTTGTATTCCTTTCTTACCCTTGTATCTTACATAATATTGTTTTCCAAAATACAACCTATCTGATATTTTTTTCTAAATTTTGGCACTTTTCTTAACTTAACAAATTAAAAATCATAAGTATTTTCCATTGACATTGGTTGTTTAAATTTCACTCACATTTACCAATTTCTTAGCTCACCATTCCTTCTTGCATCTCAGACTTTCCTTTTGTGATCACTTTCCTTCTCCCGAAAATATATCCTTTAGAAGTTCCTTTATTACAGGTCTGATGGTAGTGAACATTTCTATTTTGTTTGCCTGTAAAGACTTTATCTTTCTTTTGTTCTTGAAAGAAAGACACTTTGGGTGACTGGGTGGCTCAGTCAGTTGAGTGTCTGCCTTCAGCTCAGGTTGTGATCTGGAGGTCCTGGGATCCAGCCCTGCCTCAGGCTCCCTGCTCAGTGGGGAGTCTGCTTCTCCCTCTCCCTCTGCCCCTTCTCCCTGCTCTTGCTCTCTCTCAAGTAAATAAGATCTTTAAAAAATAAAGAAAGGAAGGAAGACACTTTGAAAATGATTCTTCTCTGCCTGTTTTTAAGGTTATCTCTTAAGCTGGTGTTGGGCAGTTCCACTGTGAGTTACTTACATGTGAAATTCCTATTTATTCTTATCTGTGGATTCATTTCTCTTATTCTGGAAAATTTGGAGCCTTTTTATCTTCAAATAATGCCTGTTTTCCTTTCTGCTTTTTCATTCTGGGACCCTGAATAGATGTGTAGGAGATCGTCTCCTTCTGTCTTTCATATTGCTTAATGTTTCTTTCATAATTTTTAACCACTTGGTCTCTGTGCTGCATTCTGGGAAATGTCTTTCGCTCTTTCATTTCACTAATGCTCTTTTTTTTAGTTTTTATTTTAATTCCAGTTAGTTAACATATAGTGTTATTAGTTTCAGGTGTACAGTATAGTGATTCAACACTTCCATACATCACCCAGTGCTCATCACAAGTGCCCTCCTAATCCCCATCACCTATTTCATTCATCTCTCCTACCCACCTCCCTTCCAGTAACCATCGGTTTGTTCTCTACAGTTAAGAATCTGTTTCTTGATTTGTTTCTCTCTTTCTCCCTTTTTGTTTTAAGATTTATTTATTTATTTGAGGGAGAGAGAGAACATGAGCAGGAGGGAAGGGCAGAGAGAGAAGGAGAAACAGACTACACTGCTGAGCAGGGAGCCTGACATGGGGCTCAATCCTAGGACTCTGGGATCATGACTTTGGTCAAAGGCAGACACTTAACCAATTGAGCCACCCAGGTGCCTCTTGTGTCTCTTTTTCCCTTTGCTTTTTTATTTTGTTTCTTATATTCCACATGTGTGAAATAATATGGCATTTGTCTTTCTCTGGCTTATTTCATTTAGCATTATACTCTCTTGCTCTGTCCGTGTTGTTGCAAATGGCAAGATTTCATTCTTTTTTATGGCTGAATAATATTCCATTGTATACATATACACCTTACCTTCTTTATCCTTTCATCTGTCAATGGACACTTGGGCTGCTTCCATATCTTGGCTACTGTAAATAATGCTGCTATGAACATAGGGGTTCATGTATCCCTTTGAATTAGGGTTTTTGTGTTCTTTGGGTAAGTACCTAGTAGTGTGATTGCTGGATTGCGGGGTAGTTCTATATTTAACTTTTTGAGGAAACTCCATACTGTTTTCCAGAGTGGCTGTACCAGTTTGCATTCCCTCCAACAGTGTAAGAGGGTTCCCCTTTCTCCACATCCTCACCAACACCTGTTGTTTCTTGTGTTGCTGATTTTAGCCATTCTGACAGGTGTGAGGCGATAGCTCTTTGTAGTTTTATTTGCATTTCCCTAATGGTAAGTGATGATGAACACTTTTTCATGTGTCTGTTGACCATCTGTATATCTTCTTTGGAGAAATATCTGTTTATGTCTTCTGCCCATTTTATTTATTTGAGAGAGAGAGAGAAGGAGAGAGAAAGAGCATGGGGGAGGCAGAGGGAGAGAGAATCTTAAGCATGCTCCCCCGGCCCCCCCAGCACACAGCCTGATGCAGGGCTTGGTCTCATGACCCTGATATCATGACTTGAGCCAAAATCAAGAGTCAGACACTTAAGTGATTGAGCAACCCAGTTGTCCCTCTTCTACCCATTTTTAAAGTTGGATTATTTGTTTTTTGGGTGGTTGAGTTTTATATGTTCTTTATATATTTTGAATACTAACCCTTTATTGGATATATCATTTGCAAATATCTTCTGTCATTCCCTAGGTTGCCTTTTAGCTTTGTTGGTTGTTCCCTTTGCTGTGCAGAAGCTTTTTACTTTGATATAGACTAATAGTTTACTTTTGATTTTGTTTCCCTTGCCTCAGGAAACATATCTAGAAAAAAGTACCTTCAGCCAATGCTGAAGAGGTTAACAATATTTGTTCTTCCAATTTATGAGCAAGGAATGTCATTCCATTTCTTTGTGTCATCTGACACTCTTAAACTGTGTCTAATCTGCCCTTTGACCCATCTACTGAGGTATTGGTTTTAACACATATATTTTTTATTCTTAAAATTTCTATTCTCTTCTTTTTTACATTTGTCTGGTCTTTAAATATAATCACTTGTTGTTTGCTCATTTTGATAATTTCATTTTATTTTTAAAAATCATAGTAATTATTTTGTATTCTTTAACTGTTAACTCTAATATCTGAAGTCCTTGGAGATTTTAGTCTGTTATTGCTGCTGACTGTCATATGGTGGTTTGTTTCCCTGTATCTCTTATTGCGAACTCAGATTTGATTGGCCTTACTCTGAAGCATACTTGGAAACCTACATTAAGGGTATATTCTACTACAGAGAATACACATTTATTGTGTGTGTGTGTGTGTGTGTGTGTGTGTGGTGGGGGCAGGGAGCCAGAGAGCACTAAACTTTCTGGGTTATTTTGGAGTATAAGGCTTAGTTTCTTCACCTCATTTAAGGCTTAAACTCCTGCTTGTAGTGCTGATATTGGCATTCATTCTCAGGGCATCTTAAGTATACTTACCATTCACCTCCATGAGAGTCCAGAAAAAAATTAATTTTTATGCAAGATCTAGTGGTTTTCAAGCAGGAGGGCACTTGAGAATTTCTAGATCAGCATATTGTCAGAAGCAGAAGCCTTTCCTTCATTCTTAATCCCACTGCTGTCTGGCTTTCACTCCTTTCCACTCACCAAACCTGTCTGGCCAGATTGCTAAGGGTTACTACATCCAAGAGATCAAGGTCTGTGTTGACATTTGACACTGACCTTTGTCTAAAATGCTGTCTTTGTTGGTTTCTCTTTGATTTTTCTCTTATCACCCTGTCTCCTCTTGTGGCTCTTCCTTTACTTACCTCTTAAATAATCTGTATTCTCCAAAGTCCATCCTTGACCTCTTTCTTGTTTTTCCTTGGTAATTTCATACATTCCTACGACTTTAGCTACCGCCTGTATGTTGATGATTTCAAAATCTGTATCTGTAGCCGGCCCTTTTCCCTTTGCTTCAGATAAGTATACTCAACCACCTACCAGGTATCTCCTGTTCGTCCTTGAATATTTTTGTCCCAAAAGGAACTCCAAATATTTTTCTAAATCTGCAATTCCAAATCTCAGAACTACTATTCCTCTAGTTGCCAGAGCCCTAAACCCAGGAGTCATCCTAATCTCCTCTCTTCTTTATACCCAGATGGTGACCAAGATCTATTGAACTACTTCTTAAAATTCCCTCCTATTGAATGTCAAAAAACATCCAGGCACTCTCATATTTTTCTGGTGGGCATGTAAATTATTATAACTCCTATTATAGCAATTTGAAGTGTGTGTCAAAAGTCTTCAAAGTGTGCATATCCTTTCTCCCAACACTTTCATGTCTAGTAGTTTGTCCTAAGGAGATAGTTGATGTCTACGGATATACACAAATGATTATACTAGCAATATTTTGGAAAGAATCTAAATTTCCAATAAGATTCCTTAAACATATTTTGGTACATTCATAAAATAAGATACCATAGTCATTAAAAGGACAGTATATTTTTCCACAAAAAATGTACCTGATATATGGTTATATGCAAAGAGTAAGATTCAAAGTGTTAGTACACAATGTGATGCCATTTTCATAAAAAATGTTTGCTTCCTAAAAAGGCATATACTAATAAATTAACAATGGATAATTTGGGTAGTGAGATCATAGTCCTTTTTCCTTTGTGCTTCTCTGAGTTAACTGAGCTATTATCTCAGATATCAGTTATCTGAAATTATTCTGCATTGAGCATATATTTATTTTATAATTATAACCATTATTTAAAAGATTCTCTCCTATTCAAAAGATTCCCTTTTCACTGCCACAGTCTCTCCTTATCTATCACCTACACCCTCCTCCCTTATCCTTCACCACCTCACGGGCTTCCTGCCCTGAGCCCCAGCCCCTCCAGTCTCCTGCCACTGTGGCTTCTCTCACCATTGGGCCAGCCTCTCCCTCTGCTCCAGTTCTTAATTCCTGGAGGATCTCTGTCCCTAGGCTGCCCTTTCCCCTGACTCTTCTCTGTTGGAAGCCTCCTCCCTCAGGATCTCTTAGTAGACCTGCCCTTCAAGAACCAGGAACACTCTCTCTTTTCCAGCTCTTGTACTGGTACATCCACTGGGCGACCCTATTTTGTTCACTTGTCTGCTGAGATCTCTTCACAGGCATGGCCTGGCCTTTCTTTTTGTATCTGCATTGTGCCTGGCATGTGTAGATACTCACCATTTGTTGGACGGTACGCACAGATAAATTCCGTTAGGCAGAGTCACAAGTAGACTCACAGATCTTGTCTCCATTTTATGAAAGCTGCACAGACCCCTTGGTCACTCTCCTTCAAGTACAGACATATAGACACAAGGAGACTGTGATATATATGCGTGAAAACATCCTTATAGCACCTTCTCTGGCATATCCCACAGACAGCCTCAGGGCCTTTGCATTTTCTGGTCACTCTGCCTGGAACCCTATTCTGTCAGCTCTTCACAGGGCTAGTTCTCTCGTATCTTTCTGGTCTCTGCTTGATGTCACTGTAAGAAAGAGGTCTTCCGTGGCCTTCCTATTTAAGTAGCTCTGCCTGGTTACTTTCCATTTCCATTACTCTGTTTATTTCCTATACAGCATTTTGGATAATTTATAAAACTTGTTTATTTCTTGGTAATTATCTGTCTCTTTCCATCTCCTACCCTGGTGGAGTAGGAGGGCACCACGAGGACAGAATATTGTACTATTTTATATATTATAAATTCCATGCCTAGGCAAATGAATAAATACATGCATCGTGTGCACATGTGGACACACACACAGATACAAATAATTACAAACACATAACAACAACCACACACTACCATCATTCAGACACACATGACCATACCCTGGCCTGCCCACGCTCCCAGTCTCTACTTACCGGTGTCACAAACTTGTTGGCTTCCCAGGCCCACAGAGGTGGGTCTTTATAGACCTCCTTGATAGAGGTAGGAGCCCTGTAGGAGTCACTGTAGGTGCTGATGGGGGTCTTGGTCTTGCGGGAGAAGAGGAACATAGTGAGGTCTAGGGGATGCTGTGGAGGGCTTTACCTACCAAGGGCTCTGTAAGACATCAGTGACAACCCTCACTGCCAGAAAGCCTACACCTCCAGCCTGCCAGGTGTCCCTTAGCTGCTGTGACCCCCTCCTATAGAGGATCTCTCAGTTGCCCTCCCTCACAAACTTCCAGCTCCTACCCCACCCTGTTTCCCCCTCTAGGATGGGCACCACCCATTATGATATCACCTGGCTCAGCCCCATCCCTGGGGAGGTGAGGAGATCCAATTCCCTCCCTACCCCCAGCCTCTTCCTGCCTCAAGCATCTCAAAAGATTCCAATTTCCAAGAGTGCAGAGGGTCCCTGGAGATCACCTAGGCCAAACTCCTCACTTTGATGAAGAGAAATGGAGGTTCTGAGGCATCAAGTGACTTGTCCAGGGTCAGTGGCAGGCCTGGCCTGGGAACCCATGAGTGGAAGCAGAGTGAAATATGTATCCAGAGAATCAGTTCTCTCCCCTTCCCAGCCCACCTGCCCCTTGCCCACGACCCAGGTAGGGAGTTGAGGCTGGCTTGTTTGATGCTTTTAATATCATTATTTGTGTTACACGATACACAACCAAGGGTGATGGTCAATACTGCGATGGAAATGTTAAAAAAAATATTATACACGGCTCATGTCTTCCACACACCTTCCTGGAAATAAATTAGTGAGCACGGAGAAACCTGGCTGGTTGGCAGCCAGAGCTGAGGGTAGAGGGAGTGTTAAGGCAGTATCTACAAGGGGGAAGGATGATGGGGCTGGTGGGGGGGGGGCAAGCTAAGGCCTCAATTCCACCCCTCCAACATCCCAGACAGGGAAGGAGGGACCCACACACTCTACTAGACCCAGAAGATGCTGGCTACCAGCTTCCTACTTCTCTCCACTTGTACACTGCCTCAGCTGGAAGCCCTTGCCTGCCAGGGAACTAGTGTGTCCTGTGGGTAGGGTGCCTCAGGGCCAGAGAGGTCGAGCAGTGGGCCAGTCATAGAGCAAGTCAGCAGCAAAGGCAGTAGTTGAAATGAGCCCTCATGGGGGCCCTGCCCGGAAGAGAGGAGGTACCCATGTTCTAGAAGGGTGAGTCAGGGAGCCCAGGGTAATGATAGTAGTGGTAGGAAGCTTGACTATGGGGCCCAGCTGATGGGATGGGGATGCTGACCAGGGTGGCAGAGAGAGATTCAGATGGGAGCCAGTATGGATCTTGTAGGCCCTGCAGGTGCCTTCTTTGTCCCTGCTTTCCTTTGGCATTTTCTACTCACCTAACCAGGGTCCCTGCACTCGAGGAAGTAGGAGAAGGTGGAGGAACTGAGGGTAGAAAGCTGCACCTCAAAACTTTGGAGCTGGCAGCCTGGGGGTGTGGTGCGTGGAGAGGGGCTACCCTTCTCAAGCTAGCAGCCTTATTCTCTCTTCTCACTACCCTCCCCTCCTTTCAGCTCCCCTCTCCCAGGAATGGCAGCCAGGGAGTGGGCTGTGCAGGTGTCTTCTGCACACTTGCGACACATGAGTGGTATATATGAGAGTGGATACACCAGCGTGTGTGGGCTGTCAGCATGGAGGAATGGGGAGTGTACACCCTGGTCTTGGGATATGGGGTTTGTGAGGCATAAGACCTGAGCAGTCTTAGGCTCTCTGTGCTTTCGTGTTTCTTCACATGGGGCAGGTCTCTATTGCCTAGTTCAGGGGCGGGGGGCTTGGTCACCTCCTCCCTCTGATTTTCATCCTCAGCTTTTCTGTTCTCCCCCTCCCCACCCCAGCAGCAGCAGCAGCAGCAGCAGCACACGCACTCTGACTCCCAGATGCCGCACAGAGCTACACACACAACATATACTCCCCTCCCCACATACATGTTCATGGAATACACATGTATTCCCAAATAGATCCCAAACACACACAGGTCCCTCAGGAACTTCCCCTCTCCTTTCCACACAGAAACAGAACTCAGGAAGCCCCACAAGTGTATTCAGACACATGGAGACCTGCCTACACACCTCCACAGAAATTCCTATGAAGAAATTCCTTCGTTTGAAAAAACCTTAAGAGTAATTTCAGACCCTGCTCATTTTACAGTTGAGGTAACTGAAGCCCAGAGAACACAAGTGCTTGTTGAGATCATAGAGAGAGTGCTAGCACGAGGGTCACAACCCAAACTTCTGACTCCCAGGCCAGGGCTCGCAGCCCACTGCTGAGCAGCCTCATGTCACTAACAGACCACACAGTCACTTTCCCACCATGGACACGTATGTCCATGAAGAAACAGACACCTGGAGAGACAGGCCCAACACACAGACATAGACACACACCCTGACAGGCTCACACACACATACACACACATTCCGCCAAGTTCTCCCTACCATGCACATGCTACCACTGTTTTCTCCTAAGCTTGCCTCCTTGAAGATTCTTGTGGGGAAGTGGTATCTGGGATCTTGGGCTGGAGAGAGATGGGAATGGGGCTTTCAAGGCCAGCCCTACCTCCTGCTTCCATCCTGGGATGGAGACCAATGAACAGAAGTGTGGGGGGTGGGAGGAGCTGGCAGAGAAATAGATGCATTGGTTGGGGGTGGGTGAGGACAGATCATATCACCCCAAACTGGTCTGTCTCCAAAGCCCACCTTACCCTTCTCCACAACCCAGAGAGCAAGGAAGGGGGTGAATGGGGCAAAGAAGAGGAAGAAGGCAGTGATTCTATGGGGGGAGGGCAGTATCCCACTGGGCAGCTTTGCCAGGCTTCCCATCTGGAGAGGAGGGGGAAACAAATAGTTATATGGGCCGGCAGGGGGCGTGTGGAGGGGGCTCTGAGGTGCTGGGCCTTGCTCCCACTGCCCTGGGTCCTTCTCCCTCCCAGCCCCCTTTCCTTTTCAGGCTGGGGCTGGGGGGCTCATGGCTTTGCTGGGGTGAGGCCAAGCCCCTGGCTTTGTGATCCCTACCCCACTCATTAGCGTTAGCCTCTCTGCTGTCTAGTCCTTCCTCTCCCCCCTGGACAGCAGCTTCAGGGAGGGGGGCAGGGTGCTGGGCATGGTCCCCCAAGTAACTGAACAAACAGCCCCTGCCGCTCCTCAGCCCCCGGGGTGGAGAAAGACCCGGTTTTGGTTTCTCCGGCTCCATGAACACACAGAGGTACACGTCCTACCATAGGAGGAAGCAATGACTGTTACGAGGTTGGCGGCTGTAGGGGGCATGGGGGCCGGGGGCAGGCGGACGAGCTGGGGAGGGGTTGGCCCCTGCCCTGTCCCACCTGGCCCACGGGGGCCCTGCCCCAGGCGGCCGCAGTGGCCCCACCCGCTACTGAATGTGGCAGGCAGTGGAGGACGTGGCCTGGCAGCACATGCAGGTGGGGTTCACAGACTTGGGGGGGATGAGGTCCAGGTCCTCGTCGTCAGGGATCTCGTCTAACCGGTAGCCGTCCTTCAGCAGCTGGATGTTCAAATCTTGGTTGATCTGCTGTAGACAAAGGGGAGGGAGGTCAGGCTCGGGGCAATCCGGAGGTACCACCCACAGCCAGGTGGCACCCCCACTCAGTCCGATCACGCGTTACTGAAAGGCCAAGCTCTGCCTCTTCTTGGGCCTCAGCCTCAGTTCTGGCCTCACGTCCTTACAGGTACATCCCTGAGGCCTCACCTCTCTACAAAGGGCATCCCATTCTAAGGGCAACTTCTGCCTCTGTTAGGCTGGTCCCTATTTCAGGTCTCGCCCAAAGAGTGTCGCCTGGATTTCACACTCCATTCTCTTTAGGAGCCTTGTTTTAACCATGGGCTCAAGCCTCACCCCTAAAACTGGGCTCCCTACACTTGAGGCCAGTGTCTGACAGCCTCTGGGTTCTTTCCGACACTGTTCCATCCCAGGCCCTACCCCATTATGTCCAGTCCCTACAGGACTCCACCTAGCTCTGCCCATTGCTCCTCTCAGGGTGTGATGTGGTGCCCCACCCCTTTTCCTAGATGGAGGTGGTCCTGCTCAGGTACATCTAGGGTCCTAAAGAGTGGGGCCTCACCTCCGCAGAGGAGTAGCCAGAGGAGGAATATCTGGACATATCAAAGTCGTCATCGCTGATGGTGGAAGAAAAGACAGAGAAGTGATTCCCTGATATTAAATGGAAAACTCCCTGTACCCCACCCCATCAGTCTATACCTCCCCTCCCCCACACTTCCAAGTAAACAGCAGATCTAAATAAAGGATTGTGCCCGCTGTGCAAATGCCCAGCTCCCCTAGCCCTGCCCTTCTAAATGAACTGCCCCCTGTAACCTTCTAAACACCTGTTACTTGCCTCACCCCGATTCCGCTCACCTCTTTTCTAGGCTCAAATCTCCCTGACTTGTTGGGTTTCCCCAAAGTTCAAGTGTAGCCAGGCACACTGCCAGCAGCAGGGCTCCTCCCTTAGAAGGAGCAGGATGTTGGACATCGCATCAGGGCCCAGTCAAGGGGCAGCGATAGCATCAGTCGTCTCAGGACAGTATCAGACTGTGCCAGTCCCCTTTTCCTCTCTCTGCTCCTTTCCTACTGCCAGATAAAAAAAAATTCCATTCCCGGGGGATTCATCCTTGGAGAGCTCCTGGCTGTCTGAGGAACACCCCACATCCCAATTCTAACAATATAGCAGGTGTGGCTCATAGAGCCCACTTATTCGTTCATAAAGGTTCCTGTGGCTTGCCCGGCTGCCCCAGCATCCTTGTACACACCTGTCCGTGTCAAGGGCTACCAGTGGCTTCTCATCTGGGCTCTGGTCAAGCGAGGAGTAGCCTTTATTGGGGACGACAAGCCTGGGTAGAAAATTTAGGGGATTGGATTGGCAACTGGAGCGCATAGCCTGGTGAGGAACTGGATTGGGCCCAGACCCACCACTTCCCCCTGCCCCTTGGATCCTGTTGAGACTCTCCTCTCACAAAGATGCTGGGCCTGAGGAGGGAGGGAAGAAGGAGAGGCATAGGACCAGCGGAAATAAATGTTACTGGCAGGGTCTGGGTGGGGTAGGGGGACCTCTACC